GGTGGTGACCCCGACGCGGTTAGATATCGAATTCCAATTATGCGCTGTAATTAAAAACGCTTCAAAGCGCAGAAGAATTTCAGGGAAATGTTAGACCGCCCACCCATTTTCCACGTTTTCTTGCCACTGCTCTTCCGCTCTATAGATTTCCCCATAAGCTTTTACCACAAATACATGTGTCGTTACATTGAAATGGAAATGTAAAACTCGGAAATGCATTCCAAGTGGAAAAGGAGGGGGGACAGGAAAATTCGGGCAGCAGTAAGTCGAGACGCGTATTTTTCAGCATATTAAACAAGCCAAGAGGTTCAAATGCTCCTGGTGTTCTGGGTCTTGGTCCTGTTCCTGCTCCTGCTCCTTTTTGGCTCAGATCCTTTTGGGATGGCTGTCTGGATGGCTGTCAGACCACGTCGACTTCATCGTCTGCTTGACGTCTCATTTTTTCCCAGTTTCCTTCGCTTTCCTCGGCTCCTTTGGTTCGAGTACACATCCTTTTCGTCCTGCTGCACGTTTTTTCGGCAGCTTTTGCCAGTGTTGCTGACGCATGACGTAGGTGTCTAGACTTGCTAATGTTTCCTCTCGATGCTGCTGCTACTGCTGCTGCAGTTGTTGCAACATGCAGCTTCCGATGAAGTCGTAAAACTCATCCGCTGAATTATGTTGCCTCGATTTCTGACCAGTTTCGGCATCCCCGGGGATTTGGCTTTAAAAATTGAAGTTTAAGGACTCTGCAGCTCGCTGCTCCCGAAGCCACTGACATACTTCCCTTGTAAACCAACTTGTAATATATTCCCACGCCATTTCGTGTCGAGAGTGTGCAAGAAAAAAAGAACACACATACGTACTGTGTGCCCGACCGCATTTACGGGCAGCGGAGAATTGCACGTTTGTGCTGCTAGATTACGGCATTGTCTAGCTTTCCCGGGACATCGGAGGGTCCTGGCCAGCCTGCAGGGACCTCAAGTGCCGGTGCCAGCCATGTCTATGGCTTTATTTTTACTATTCTATATAGAATGCCCTACTGTATGTACCACACACTTCTGTGTTGTCGCCGCCGCGCGCGCTTTCTCCTCCTTTCTCCGCGCATTGCCCAATTTCTTTCTCTCTTTTTTACGGCTCTGCCATCATAAACTGGCATAAAGAAGGGCCAGAAGAGAGAGAGAAAGGGCCAGAAGAGACACACGGAATGAAACCAAAAGCGCAGCGCAGTAAAATGAAGTCTAAACTAAATCCCACATAAGGTACGAACGTGCTCAACACAAATGCCAGGTGCTTTCGCAAACACACACACTCGCACTCAGTGCCATCGCAGGCTGTTTGCCGTTTACCTTATTGGATTTTTACAGCACACACCGAACAAAAAACTACAATATGGTGCATTATCGTTAATATACTGGCTACCTACTTAGGGTTATTAATTTGCTTAGCCTTTTAATATAATTATGGTAGTATTTCTTGAATTCGCCTAGTATATCCTTACACTTACAACCAATTTTTCGTATTAAATCTGGGTACAGATCATTCCGTAAATCTTAAAATATCATTGCTTGGATTCAAATGTTCTTACTTAAATGGGATTTTTAAAAATAATACCTATATGGGTCAAAATAAAATATTTTGAAGCCCTCTCTAAGATTAATTTCCATATTTCTAATATTATAATAGATCCTTATATGTGCTTAAACTTGCATGATATAAATACATTGCCCGTAATATTTAATATATCACATATAAAATACCAAAACATCTCACCTAGACCAGTGTTTCTCCAGTGTAGTTAACATCATATGATATATCATTTAAGAACTAAAAAGTTATGAATGGAAATGACTCAGAAATGTAATGATCTTCGTGAGAAGACAATCCAATGAAATTTCTCCGTACCTCCCAAAATAATCCATTCGTTCAATAATTCTTTCCTAGAATATTTCCATCCCTACTTTCCAAATATTTCACCAATTTCCTCCACATTTTCCCCCAGTGCTGCTACTATTTGTACTTGGCCCGCTCACGGGCTCCCTGAACAAACTTGCCCCAAAGCCAGAGCCAAATTTAAGCCTGGCCAACACCGGCCGCAGTTCACTTTGCATACATATGTCTCGTCTGCATCGCCAGCCAGCCGTCTCCTGTGCCACCGAGCGTCCTTTGGCAGGAGCATTCGACTGGAAGCTGTTAAATATCGAACACATATTTATATGTAACGGGTGGGCAGGTGGCTCAGGACATTGGCAAATGGCTTCGAGATTTGTGCGACAGTTCCTGCTGCTGGAAGCGAGATAAGCTTGATGCATGGCCAAGACCCAGGACTTACATTTCCCGATCCGGAAAACTACCTAGTACACACGTAGAAAATTTGGTTTATTTTCGAAGGATTGTTTTGATGATTTAGAACTAGGTGTATTATGTTCTAAATAAGAAGGTTTATTACTATTTATAGGAAAATTCAATAGCCCTGAAATTATATTCTCACCAGCATTGATAGATTTATATTTCTTTTCCAGTAGCTAGAAATTACTCAACAGAAACGGGGGCCCCCAGGAATGTTTAATTTTAAAAACTGACAAAGCAGTACAGGTTCTTTTTCCTTTGGCTGCCGAAAGCCAATCATTGTTAAATTAACGCCATAAAAAATTACGCACTTCCCGGCACTCGACTTCAATCTACGGAAAAGTGAAGTAGAGTGAAGCCAAGTCAAGCAGCCGCAACGCAACTGAGACAGAATCAAATAAAAATTAAGTGCTGACTCAGTTCGTCTGGAAAAAAGAAGGAAAACTGGGGGAAAAACACTGTGCGGCATGCAAAGTGGAGATAAGAAAAAATGCTTCACAATAACAACAACAGTATGGAGGGGGCGGGGGCGTAGGTGGTGGTAGGTGGGCGTGGCAGGGCATTTACATGACCGCAAAAACACAACAATGGAAGTAGCAGCCAAACAAAACTGTTTACTGGGTAGTGGAGAGAGGCACAGAAAAAACCTACATTTTCATATGGGGAGTGTGAAAACTGTGACCATATGCAAGGGCAGGTGTTTTCTGGATCCGTACATGTGTGGGTGGATAGGTGGTTACAGATGGGAAGGAAGATCCTTGGCCTGGCTAAGACAAATGATGCGAAATACATTTGGACGCCGCGCTCCACGAAAAACGGAGGCAAATTTTTCATTTACCTGCTGCCAGCCTCAGAGTTTTGGTCCTTAGTCCTTCGTCCCCCTCCCCCCCAGCATCCTTGGCATCCCCACATCCTTATAAGGATGCTATAGCATTTGCCGTTGCCATTGGAAGTTAAGTATACGTAACGTAAACGCAAATTTAATGCTTGAAAAATTCGCTTAAATGGATTTAAGTGCCGCCTTCTTTCGGTTGCCTTGCTTTTGGGCGCATTTTTCTTTTGGCCTTCTTGCCCAGCTGCCTGTTTTTTATCTCGGCCAGCAGATAAATGAAAATCTTCAAAAAGATGAAGTAGCGGTCGACGAACAGCAACAGAGGCCAAAGGCTGAGTAGACTTTTGTGTTTATTGGGGCTACTTATCGACTGAGCACAGTCAAGTGAGCTTTGGCTTTGGCTTTGGCCCCCAACTGCTGACCCATTTGCGGCTCAGACTTGGCCAGATAGATAGCACCGAGGCTTAGGCCAGGCCAATTCAAATATCGGCCTCGAAAAAGCCTTCAATTAACCGCAAAGAGGAAAATGATTACTAAGAAAGCATTTAATGCAATCAAATACAGGTTTTTCTGCCTGATGAAGCCCGAAAATAAATATTGTGAGCTCATGTAAAAAATAAACTTGTTATAATATTTACTTTTACCTTCTATTAACACTGTCAAGTCCACGACAAAAGCATTTATCGTATTCAAATGTATGTTTTCTTTCCATAAGAAAAGCAGAAATAAATAATTTAAAGCTCAGCCTTCACTATTTACTTGTGCCTTTTATAAACGATGCCCTGCAAAACAATTATTATAATTTCCCTTAAAAAGAAAACACAAAACCAATATTGTTTGGTCAATTGACTGAATTTCATATAAATATTTAAGCTGTTCAACAGTTAAGCCTTCAATATTTTTTATTGGGCATTCCCATGTAATTCATTGCCCTTTGCCACATATATTTGTCATTTTAGAAAACTTGTATAACCAAGTAAAACGTGCTTATAAACATAAAACATAAAAACCTTAAGTTTAAGGACTGACTTTGTTTAGCTGCCTTTTATCTGGCTTATCCGACCTATAATTTATATGCTGACGCATCATATAATCTTTATCCCAGACGAAAAAAACAGAGAAAACCCTTAACCTTTGCCGCTGGCATTTAAATTTAGAGCCTTATCGTGGGGAGTAAATCGATGTGGAAATGGGGAAAGAGGGAAATTTACGATCTACGGCCACAGTTTGCCACGTTCAACAAGCCGCATACATTTTTATGGCCAATTAAATTCCATAAGCCAGGCTAACCGTGACGAAACAGACCATCTTCTCTCAAGATCTGTACTTTAAGCCAGCGGTCCTTTAAGTTTTACCCTCAGGACAGGCATCGATTGAAGAACCGAATGTGGTCACCATAGGGCTTTTCCGAGTGTTAAGTGTGAAGTAATGAATATTAAAATGAAATTTACAGAGGACAAGGACACACACAGCCATCGAAGGAGAGCAAATATTTTGACAGCTGTCAGTCGAGGGAAATGATTTCGCATTTCTGTTGCTTCCATTTTGCCGGGGCTTCTTCTTCGTGCCGGAGTTTCCCGGGGAAAGCTCTCTCTCTGTTTTCTCGTAGGGAAAGCCAAGGGGCGGAGGTCGGGAGGGGCGTGGCACATGCCAATGCCAAACTGATAGACAGCCAGACAACGTGCGACTGCCGCCTGACTGCTCTTTTAACACCAATTGCTTTTTAATGCATGCACGTTCTCGTCTCTCTGCTCTCTAAAAAAAGTGAAAAAAAGGAGGCCAAAGGAGGCAAAGAAAGAAATTGATTGACATTTTTGGTGAGCAGACATTTCGTCCTATTTTATATGCAAATCAGCAGGATACTCACACACACACACACAGGCGCAAGAGCATGTCAACTGGCTTCCCGTTGACAGGACAATAATAACGTTAAAATGTCGGGCATTTATCGTGCCAGTTTGTGTGTGTGTGTGTGTTTGCAGTGTATGTGTCTTTAGTCCTGTGCCTTCTTCTATTTCCCACTAATTACCCTGGATTTTATTCACAGCTAAAAAGCAGGTCAGTAGTTCCTGGGAGAAATCCCGGCTAAGTTTACTCATTTTTCTTCTTCTCCTGGGGATCAATTTCGGGTTGAGTTTTCGCCGGCGGCGTTGGCGGTTGTTCGGGATAATCCCAGGTGGCTGGCAGCGAGTTTTGGTACTCAAACGTGTACAGGGACTTCTTCACAAACTCACAAACATCATCGGGCTTGGGGTAAATATTCGAAAGATCTGGGGGAACATGGTAAACAAAGGACATTAGGTGGCAACCTTGTTGAAGACTTAAAATGTATATTTTCGTAAAGCAAAAAAATCTTTAAAATTCCTAAAGGTATTAAACCTTTTGAGAAGGTGATCGAAAGTATTGTAATAAATATTTATTGACTTCAAAAATGTAAGGGAACTAGGGGAAACACATCATATAATTTTAATTTTCCCATTTAAGGGTAGGTTTTTCATCCGCATGTTAAACTAAAAGTAGTTAGTTAGTCAATTCTATTTTTTTATACGTGTTTTTGGTCTAACACCTACCTATAGTATTTTATCATCTATTTTTAGTGTAAAACTTTAAAGGATATTTATCATCTTCCGTAACTGAGACTTTCATCAAGGTTCCTTCCCAAAAAGTTTAAGTTAAGGGTATTTAAGGTATAGAATACATTTCGAGTAGTCAAAACTTTTACGACTCTTACAGAATTTAGAAATAAGAAGTATACTAGCTCATTAATGGTATTTTATAACCCAGTTTCTTCGTTACTAACTTTTAAGGGTGAATAATATTCTTTGACTTATACCTCTGAATATATCTTACCATTATCAAAAAGATATTGAGCCAAGGCCACACCCACATTGAAGGCCACCTTGCTGGCATCCTTGATGGCTGGAAATAAGGTGCCTGCATCCAGTTGCTCCTGGGTGGTGTTCCTGGCCAGTTCGTGTGACACCACGGAAAACACAGAATTGGGAAGATATCGGGCCTTCGCGGTAATGGCAGCCAAAGCGATGCCCGGAAAAGTCAGACAGTTGTTGGCCTGGGCGGGGGTATACCTCTTGCCATTGATGACCACTGGCGGAAAAGGCGATCCGGAACCAAAAAGAACGCGACCCTTTGGGGAAGATAAGAAATAAAATTTGAGGAACCTGAAAATATAACAAAGCCCCACCTCAGTGTGTGTAAAGGCCTGTTCGGCGGTGCATTCCGAGTTGGTGGTGGGATTCGAGAGGGCAAAAACAGCTGGACGCTCGTGGTTTTTGGCCATGGTCTTCAGGACCTGCTCATTGAAGAGTCCTCCAATGCCAGTGGCTCCAACCAGGACAGAGGGCTTCAGTTTCTCCAACACTGCCAATAGATCCTTGACGGGCTCCATGGGTTTAACAAATCGCTTGGCCTGCTCCGGCGCATTTGGACTCTCGCAGGTTAGCAAACCATCGGCATCCATAATGTAGATATTTTTGGTGGCCTCCTCGTAGGAAATACCCCGCTCCTCCAGTTCCATGACCAACATATTAGCGATTCCCAGGGACGCACTTCCAGCTCCCACGAAAACGAAAACTGTGTCCTCCAATTTGAGGCCCGTGATTCTTTCCACATTGATGAAGGCAGCCAGTCCAGTGGCCCCGGTTCCCTGAATGTCATCGTTGAAGCAACAGTACTTGTATTGATATTTGTCCAGGAACTTCAGAGCGTTCGGTGTGGCAAAGTCCTCGAAATGGATGAAGACTGTGTGTCCAAAGCACTTGACCGCCGCCTGCATGAATTCCTCCACCAATTCCTCGTACTCGGGACCTTTGACCCTCGGAATGCGGGACCCCACGTAAAGGGGATCCTGGAGCAGGGACTGATTATCGGTGCCCACGTCCAGGCAAACTGGCATCAGAGTGCTGGGCGGAAGGCCACCCAGTGCCGTGTAGAGGATCATCTTGCCCAGACTAATGCCCATAGCATTGGCTCCCATATCGCCGAGGCCAAGGACCCTTCCTCCATCCGTCACACAAATGGCCCGCACTCCATCATCAATCCAATTGTGCATCAGATCCCGGATGTGACCCTTGTCGTGGATGCTGATGAACAAGCTGGTGGCATGCTGGAAGTTCAGTCCATAGGTGGCCACCACATCACCCACCGTGGGGGTGTAAACTATGGGCAGCACCCTCTCGATATTCTCCCTGATAAACCTGTAGTACAGTCGTCTGTGGCGATGGTGAACGGCACTCAGATAGGTGAACCTGCTGATGTCCGAGGGTCTGGCCTCGAAATTCGTCCTGGCCGCCTCCATCTGATCCTCAATGGAGCGCACGGAGCAGGGCATTAACCCCATAATGCCTAGACGTTGTCGCTCCTTGATGGTGAACGCAAGACCCTATTGAAAAATCGATGTATTATAAATATGTTGTAGGACTAAGAATCGTAACCTACCTTATTATATTTCCCATCCATAATGAGATGCCAATCGGGTCGTGCTATTTGATCCATTTCGTCGTCATAGATATTGACCCCTCTGCAAAAACTCAAAAGTGGACGAGCAGGGAGTCGCAAAAGTGGATGCAGCCGGCGAAAGTCCATGTATAAAACTTCTATAATCTAACTCACAATTTAAATATGTCCCTTGTCATTTGAAAATTTTAAAATGGTGACCAAGTAAGGGACACTTCACATTTTCAACTGAACGCCTACTTCTTCTTAGGAAGTTTCTTTTCAAAGGCCGCAATACTTGGATGCGGTTTCATCTTGGGATATTTCCAAGTCTCAGCCAAGGCACTTCCATACTCCAGTTCATAAGAATTCTTTAAGATATAATCCTCCACGTCATCTGATTCCAGAGAGCGCTTGGCGAAACCTATTTATTTTAGGGGTTTTAACAGAAGTATAAATGGTAGACTACAAGTTATCGATTAGGTTAATCCGGTGTCTTAACTTTACCATTATCTATCAGATACTTGGCCACCGCAACACCAATTTTATAAGCCACATCTTTGGCCTGATCTACCAGTGGATAGATACGACCTCCCTCTACTTCCTCGTCAGTTGGGAATTTCGATAGCATGTGGGCGGCCAAAAGGAAGATTTCATCAGGCATACTTTCGGCCATAACCGCCATTGTTCCCAAAACCACGCCGGGAAAGGCAAAACAGTTATTGGCCTGACCGGGAGTGAGCCTTTTGCCATTGAACTCCACTGGCGGAAAAGGGGAGCCAGCCGAGAATATAGCCTTTCCCTACAAAATATAAAATTACAATTATGATATACCACTTCCATTGGAAACACTTACATCTGAATATTGGTAGGCCTGTTCGGCTGTGCACTCGGATTTTGCGGTCGGATTAGAAAAGGCAAAGATGCCGGGTCGCTCGTGATTGGCAGTCATGGATCTTATTATTTTCTCCGAGAAAAGTCCTGCTGAAGAGGTTGCACCCATTATAATCGAGGGCTTAACTGCCTCCACAAGCTTCTCCAGGGACTTGATTTTCTTCATATCCTTGGCGAACACTGTGAGATTTTCTGGAATGTTCTTTCTTCGGGTGGTCAAAACACCTTCTTGGTCGTAGATATATATATTCTTGACGGCTTCTTCCTCGGAGAGACCTCGGGATATCAGTTCCGTTTTAAGCAGGTAAAGAATTCCCATGACAGCACTTCCAGCTCCGGCAAACATGATGACGTGCTCCTCCAGCGGCTTCTTGGTTATCCGCTGAATGCCCAGCAATCCTCCCAGGCCCACAGAGGCAGTTCCCTGGATGTCATCGTTGAAATGGCAATAGCAATTCCTATATCTATTCAGAAACATAAAGGCATTGGGCGTGGCAAAGTCCTCGAAGTGGATGAGGGTCTGTTGGCCAAAGGTCTGCACCACTGCCTCCATGAACTCATCCACAAAGCACACGTACTCATCGCCTTTCAAACGCTCATCCCGAAGACCAATGTACAATGGATCCTCGTGGAGCGTTTTGTTATTGGTGCCCACATCCAGGCAGACTGGCATCAGCTTACTGGGTGGAATCCCTGCCAGAGCCGTGTACAGTTCCATTTTTCCCACCGAAATGCCCATGCCATTGGCTCCCAGATCTCCCAGACCCAAAATACGTTCACCATCGGTCACACAAATGGCTTTAACGGTGCTCCACATAGGCCAGTTGGACAGGATCTGCTTCATATGTCCTCGATCGTGTTTGGTGATGTGGAGTCCAGATATTCCCCTGTACAACATTCCGTAAATGGTGCAGGCCAAGCCCACGGTGGGTGTGTAGATAATGGGCAGCACTATTTTAATATTCTTGGACACAAACTGGAAGTACAGCCTTTCGTAACCCTGGCGCAGAGCCCTCAAGTAACGATATCTCCCCACATTCGTTTGGAAGGAATGGAAGTTCTCCTCGATGCCCAACATCTGTTCTTCATAAGACCGAACGCAGGCCGGCATTAGACCATGAATGCACAAACGCTGGCGCTCTTCTAATGTAAATGCCAAAGCCTATCGAGTTCTATTGTTATAACTCTGTGATTATAGATACCATACCTTACCTTATTATACTTCTCGGAAAGAACCACCTCTATGGGAACTCGTATGGTGTCTTGTGTTGAGGCAGCACGAGTTCTTATTAAATTTGGATTTCCATCAGATCTTGATGGGTGTTCTGTTTTTGACATCGAAGTCCGTCGTGTTAAACCAAAGTTCAATATTCTAAAGAAACTCATCTTAAGGGCAACTAAAATTTGGCTAAAGTTTGGAATATTTCTGTGTTAAGGGATAAAATGATATTGGGATCAAAGCCTCTTTTGGTACTTGGTACATTCTTTGTTAAATACCTTCTGTTTTTACATTATATACATTTAAGAAAATATTACCAAAACAAGAAAAAAAACGAAAACTCCTTTAAGGTAATACTACTGAATTGTAGATAATGGGGGTAAGTTTAACCATACATTAAATAATTAAAGAAAAAGACTGGAACTTTCTTATTTGACTGGGGCACTTAGTGTCCTAGAAATAGTACAATCTAGATAGAACAACCATTACCACAAAAAGAATCATTTTTACTTGGAAAGCAAAACAAAACTGCCGAAAATTTCGGAGGCAATTGTGCCAAAAGAGGGCTAATTTGCATGAGGTCACAGGCAGTTCCGTATCTATCACTCATTATGCATTATTATGGAAATCACTTTTGTAACTGCTATTGTTGTTGGTCGACCATTAGGGTTGTCAATGACCAGTACAAAGGACGAAGGACGAGGAGCGGGCCAAGTCAGCACAAATGACTCTTAGCGCGGCCATCAAAGGATTTGCTCGGGCTTTGGCCCAAAAATAAAAAGTTGTCCTTGCCCACTGTCCTTTTGTTTATTCGGGTGTGTGTTTGCTTGTGCACTGTGTTCCTGTTGTTGTTTCACTAATTGTGCCAAATTAGTTGACAACTTAATGTCGTAAAAATTTCAGCTAAATGCCTCAATCTTTTGTTAATGACATTGACAGCGGTGCAACTTTTTCGACTTGTATTTTTTGGGTTGGGACTGGGGACTCAGGACTCCAGGATTCCAGGACTCCTTCTCTGAGCACGTGACATCGCTGGCAGGAGTACGTGACACTGTCAGTGTCAAATGTGCAAGGACATGGACGAGGAGTCTGTCCTCCGGCTGTGTTTTATTTACCCTGGCCCCCATAAATTAACTTTGTGTTTGTTGAGCCGAAATTATAATAGTTTAATTAGTTCATTTCGTTTTTGGCCCTATCCTAACTGCCGCTGACAGTTTCATTAGGCTTTAATTAACTGCCTCAACTTTTGTTAATCAATGTACACGGTGCGTATACTCAATCTTGTCTTCTCTTCATCTTTTTGCAGAACATGTCAAGGACTTTAGTTGCGGGCCGCTGCATTACAAGACCTTCTATATGGATGAGAACAACAATGCGCTTTATGTGGGAGCCATGTAAGTATAACTCGGGTTTCATGGGGACTCTGTTTTCATACACAGAGAAAAATATTGATATAATATGAGGATCATCTTGGAAAAATTCAGGAACAATTCTTTCTTGATACGGGGCGTATCTCTTTCTTATGCTCGCCATCTTGTTATTTGCTCTCTTTACCTATTTCAGAGAGCTTATAGTATTGCTGTCTCGCTCCTTTCCAGAACTTGTTTAGGCGGCATCTCGCCCTCTCCTCTCATTTTCGATTTGAGAGTAATTTTTAAAAGAGTAAAAGGTTCTTAATAAATTTACCATGCGATTATTAAAGTGAGCTATTAGGGTTTTATCGTATATAGGATTCAAAGTTGTCCTAATAATAAATCAGCATAAATCATTTTTAATGGTTTAAGGACTTCCATTCACCTTGAAACTAGGCAATTAACTATTTATATAAATAGTTATTAATTATAAGACCGTAATAAATATTTAGGGCTTCACAAGACCCCTTTAATGTGGCAAAATATGGCATAATTTTCAGTAAACTTTCTTTTCCGGTCGCAGACAATTAGAAAGTTCCGCTTGAGACAGCCCCCTATTTGGCAAGCCGAACGCATTTGGGGCTGCATATTTCATTTTTCCTGGGCTCTTGGCCACACTGTCGGCATACATAATTATGAATTAATGCCACCGACGAGGCGCAAAGACTGGGGGTTCTGCAATTTGACAGGGAGCGCACCCGTCTGCTCATTTGTCTGCGGCAAGTTGAACACGGCCGCATTTTCACAGTTTTGCGGCTTAGGGGGAGTTGGTAAAAACCCAAGAAACCAGGGGCAGGGACGCCTAAAAGCTGGCAAACAAAGTAACCAAAATTACCACTTGACTTGAGAGGCACCAGCGAACCAACGAACCAACGAACCACCGAGCCACCGAACCGCCGATCCACCGACGACCCCACGCAACCACAGCTGGCGGCTCTCGTCAGCGATTGCCGGGCTCCTAGAAAGCCGGCAGGGAAATGAAGATTAATGGTCTGGCAGTTGTCGGGGGAAAGCTACCAAAAACTCTGGCAGTAACTACATAAAACACACTTTAGACCGTCGCCGCTGCCCTTTGCGTTTTCCTTTTGTTTTCCCGGGGCGCCGCAAAAGTTTCGAGTGGCCGGAAAATGGAAGATGGGCTGATGGGCGGATGGGCTGCCTGGCAGCCCTGGCAGCGCTTAAAGTTGTGTCTGTCTCGCTGGCAATATTGCCACATTCGACATATCAATCAATCAGGGCACACTGACTGCAATAAGTACGCTGGCAGGCTGGCAGCACACTGCACAGCAGGTGTGTGCGCACCGGCAACGATTTTTCAAACCAGAAGAAAGCCTGAAAAAATGTCAATGAGCCCAAGTTTACCGGGGCCAGACAGCTGGCAACTGGTGTGGCATTAACTTGTCGCAGGAGGGGGCACGAGCCGGGATTAACCCGAGTGCCACGGGGTTGACAAAGTTTTCCTCCTCACCATGCTAATTCATTTAATTTTCATTGCCCTTTCTCTTCCAGGGATCGCATATTTCGGCTCAATCTGCGCAACATCAGCCAATCGATTTGCGAGGTAAGAAAATAAATAGTTTTAATATTACTACACTCCTAACACTTTAAATAAATAATAGAAAACGGTTCCGGAATTTCAAAACTATAGATCAAAAAACACAAATATCTCTCGAGCTGCCTAAAAGTATGCTGTGAATAATGCATCATCCTCAAACTTTTAAACAGAAAGTTATCGTAGCATACTTTTATACACTTTCATGTGAGATTATTAAAATCCAGACATTTTTATCCATTGATTTTGACAAAGCTATTTGAAGTGGAATTTTAGTTTCTATAAATGAATACCTTATTAAATTACGATATATTATATTATGATATAAATATATTATGACCACCTTTAGTATATGCATTTCCGGGATACTTCTCAGACTTTTAAGTACAGCATTATTGTAGCACAATTTTATAAATCTTTATAATAAATACTTTATACATCTTTTTATTACATTTTAAATATCAGAAGCTCCTTAAAACTCTCAATTTATTTTAACAAAGATATTAGTAATGAAAATACAGTTTTCAAAAATAAATACCCTTGTTCTTTAACAACAGCTTTAACAAATAAGAACATAAAAACCTCCCGTTTAATATGCATTTCCGGGCTACATCAATATCAAATATTAAAATCGATGAATTCATGGCCTCGTGACAGCTCAAGGACCGAGTTCCTTAAAGACCCACCCCCTCGACCAACCACCCTTGCATTTGTGAGTGACCAACTTGTCACTGACAGCTCGCAATTGCTCTTTAATGATTCCATCTTCAACTATCAATATCCGCCTCGATTCGTCCTTTCGACCATTTTCCGCCACTTTTTTCGTCCTTGTAAGCTGCAGCCCAGTGCACTATCGCCACCTCCTGAGACGTAGCAAATGCTTTTAACAGCAATTATTTGTGCTGACTTCTGTGCGAGCGTTGGCCAAAAGGAAGGGAATTCCATTTCAAGTCGAGTCCCAGCACTTAGAGCCCGGCCAAAAGGGACTGACACTCCGGGCAAGTGGAAATAAAAGTGGCAAGTGCATCCACAGAGCCACCGGATATTGTGTCTATATGTCAGGCATAAAAATTGTCAGTCGATGGCTTTTTTCGCCCCCGCCATTGATTTGTGGCTTTCACTTAGGCAAAAGTATTTGCAGCAATACAAACTTCGAGGGGAGATTCAATGCTTGACAAAAAAGCGAATCGAATTAAATAAACAAATGTCCAACGTGAGCCACATACAGAAAATAAAAACGCGACATGCGAGTGTACCAAAAATTCTGGCGCGTGCTCTCGGTTGAACATCCCTGGCATCGCATTCCAGCACGCTTTCAATAAACTTGGCACACATAAATTTAAACCCGATGCCATTTCTCATTCTTGCAGCGCGATGTCCTCATATTGGAACCCACCGGATCGGATATCCTGAATTGTGTGTCCAAGGGCAAGCGGGAGGTGAGTTTCCCTGAATTTTCACTGACCTTTTAGTCCCCCCTTGAAGCATGTGCAAAATTGTCCTTTAATATCAACGAATTTGTGAACTTAACTCATGCCACGGCCCTGCCCATTTTATTTCCATTTGCATTTCGACAACCACAAAACCCACAAAAACCGCCGTATGATTTCCTTACGACTATTATTTTCTAACATTTATTACAATTACACAAAACAAAAAACCAAATCGAACGCAATTGCGTTTTCTGGCGCTTGACAAGAAGGTGGAATGCCGCAATCACATAAGGGTCATCCAGCCGATGAACTTCAATGGCCAGAAGCTATATGTTTGCGGAACCAACGCCCACAACCCCAAGGATTACGTAATAAATGTAAGTAGGCCGAAGGAAAAAACGAAGACTAATACTGCACTTGATAACTCTTGAAATGTGAGGTTTAAAGATTGATTTTATAAACGGAAGTAAAACAAATTTAAAAGTTTATAGTAAAATTTTTAAAAAATTAAATTTTTGTTGTATACTTTTAGACAGCCTTAAACTTGTTTTAAACTCACTAGAAACTTATAAGCCTTACATTTTAATGATTAAATGCTAAGTACTGACTGAACTTTACAATTAGTAGCACTTATAAGCAATATTTTAAAATCAATTTCGTAAGCGCAGCTAAAATCATTTTGAATAGTTCAAAATATTACATATATAAAATTTCGTTGAATAATTAAAATCAGCTAAAATTTCAAAGTGTTGAATTTAAATGATTGATTGTTAAATATTAACAGAATTCTTGCTTACAATTGAAATTTAAGATTTAAAAAATCGGTTTT